CAATTACTACTCAAAACTAGCCTGAAAATAGCCCAATTGCTTTCGAGGGGGTCCCCCAGTAAAAATCGCATTCGGGGGTAAAATACAAATTTATTTGGCGGGGTTCTCCTGGTACAATTCACGTTCCAGGGCCTAAATATCACTTATTGGGGCCGCTTCAACCTAATGACATAAAAAACAACCGGCAGCAATCGCGGATTTGGCAACACTGGTCCGCAAACTATGTTTTCTATAACTCCTCCCCGAACTTCCCGCTGCCCTGTATCTTGGTCTCTCATTGGCTGTAGGTCATCGCCGATGTGTTTTTCAGTCAGAACTCATTTCACACAGCGTGATTGTGAATCGCCGACAGCTCCAGATATTTAGCATGCCAAATATTTCACGGGCGTCAGCGACGTGTCAGCGATTTCCTCAGATCGCGTCTTTGATAATTCACACTGCGTGATTTTCACTCGCATGAACAAGCACCAATTTGTCTCCGCTTTCGGGCATTTGTCGGCGATTTCGCAAAACCTGTCGGCGAGTGAAAAATCGGGCTAAAATCGTGCAGTGTGAACTCGGCATAAGTTAACTAAAACGTAAACTGAAAAAAGAAAAAAAAAAACTGAAATAAAAAAAGCTATTTAGACATATTTAAAAAATAATAATAAAAACGACAACAACACACAACTAAGTTACTAAAACTTTAAATAAAATTAAAATGAAAACTAAATATAAAAACAAAAACTAATTCAAACTATTAATAAAACTATAACAGTATACAGTATATCATTTCAATGATACTAAAATAACACCATTAAACAATGTTTAAATGCATGTAACCAGTGTTAGGCATTAAAACTTTGTGGTTTCTAAAGTTTGTTCTGAACATTTAGAGCTGATTAAAACAGGACTTTATCACACATGCACAGACATCAGCAAAGCATCTGTTTATCACTAAATTGGTAACTTATAAATCAAACCTAGATGTGATGTGTAACAAAAGTCAGTTAGCGTGTTTGTGTGGTGAAGAGTAATGATCATGAAAATCAATAAGTGAAATATCACCCATGAGTGATTTCACAGAAATGTGAAGAGAACTGCATCTTTACAGTAAGATTAAATCCATAAAGTGAGAAAAGCTGTTTTCAGTATGGAATATGTTGATAAATGAATATGTGTATTGCTGTGTGTTTTGATGCAGTTTGAGGATAATCTGTTTGTTTTTGTGTTTGAGTTGCTACTGTGATGTGAGTGTCATTCACACAGATGACTGTACTTCACAATCACACAAGCGCCTGTTACTGAGTTTACTCAGAATTCAGTGTGTTAATTACAAACAAGATGATGCAATTAATGCTTGAGGTATTCGGCCAATCACAACACACTGGATAGCTGGCCAATCACAGCACACCTCGCTTCTCAGAACCATGAGCTTTGTAAAAATCGACGCGTTTCAGAAAGACGGGGCATAGAGGAGAAACAATAATGTACAGTATGTGGAAAATAATGTGTTTTTTGAACCTTAAACCGCATAAACACATTTCATTACACCAAATACACAAAATAATGTTCTTTTTAGCAGCATCATATGACCTCTTTAAATGAAGTGAATCACAGAGCAGAAGTAGGTCAGATGTTCACAAAGACAGGCCTCTCTCTCTCTCTCTCTCTCTGTAAAACACTATAGCGCTCTATCTCTCAGGTGAACAGAGATGTGTGTGTGTGTGTGGGCCGAACACATTCTGACAGTGAACGTGGGCACAAAGCAACTGAAGCCAAATGCCGTCCCACAGGCCTGAAATAATTTTTTAAATAAAACATTCATTTTATTTAGTGCAGTGTGTGGTGCAATGATTTTTCTAGCCAAGGACATTATTAGACATTTTATCAGTGATCTTCATTCTAATTAGTTCATGTATTAAAGCATTAACACTGCACCGAATCATATTGCAAGAAAACTGATGTATCAGGAATTTTGTAATTGCATCATGACTCAATTAATCAAAAATTTCCCATAAATACAGTTTAGAATCATTTTATAATGTTACCTTTTTTTAAAAAGTGTCAAGAATGAATGAATAAATTTATAATAAATAAAAATAAATAATAAATAAAATATTTAATTAAATTAATAACACAACAAATAAATCTCTCATCTTTGGATAAAAGTATTTTCCTTTCTTTTTAGTGCTTTAGGCTTTGAATTAGTAATGCAACTATGCAAAAAAATTATTCGTAATACTTAATGAGTATTTTGTCTTTTTTTCCTGTTAACATCTCAAAATCCTTGAAATAGGATAAGTAAGCCATGGAGTAAGACAAAACACACTCATATTTAAGATACAGTCTATAAAAACAAGTCATAATTTCTCATGCAGTGTTCCTTCTCAAGTACGTTTATCTTGTTTCAAGGACTTTCAGTGATATTTTAACTAGAAAACTAATTTAAACAAGTTATCAAAAACCTTCTTTTGCAATATGCAGCTAACTTATTTAAAAAGTGGTCATTGAAAAATGCTTATTTATATATAAAAAGTGCTGATGTGAATATTGGTGGAATTTGTATTTTTCATATTTTTGTATTTTGAGACTGAGGTGGGAGATTATGTTTTTTTTTTTTTAAAGATTCAGAAACAACCCTGTGAACTGAAAAACAAAAGTAGTATGTGTGTGCTAATGCCCTAAGCCAGGGGTGCCCAAACTCGGTCCTGGAGGGCCGGTGTCCTGCAGAGTTTAGCTCCAACTTGCCTCAACACACCTGCCTTCAAGTTTCTAGTATGCTTAGTAAGAACTTGATTAGCTGGTTCAGGTGTGTTTAATTGGGGTTGGAGCTAAACTCTTCAGGACACCGGCCCTCCAGGACCGAGTTTGGGCACCCCTGCCCTAAGCAGTGACTCTAGATTCGTCTGGATCAATATGTGTGATATCAGTTACAGAGGAACTCAGAGAAAGAAAGAGGCAGAATAAAGCATCTGTTCTTCACTCAATGAAGCTCTGTGGTCATGAGCTGATGAGCAGTTACTACAGAGCCGCATTAACAGAGACAGACCGCCACTATGTGTACAACAATCAAACACTTCAGGACATGAGACACGTAATGTAACAAACACACATTAAACAAGAGAAAGAGTGTGTGTGTGTGTGTTACCTGTGCATCCAATGTGTTCTGAGTTCGGTCGACACACAGATGCTCGTCACAATCCTTCAGTTTTCTCATCTGTGAACAACAACTGATCAGATTACGCCTTAGCAAAGAGCCCTCAAGATGACTTAAAATGATTTCAAATATGACAAAGGCTAAAACAACTATATCAAGATCTTTCTTATTTTAATTCACTTCAACAATTGTTCTTTTTTTTTTTTTTTACTGTTTCTTTGAAGAACAACGATTCTCACGGTCTTGAAATACCTGCATTTCAATTTTATAAGTGTGATTTCTAGACCTGGAAAAGTCATTGAAATTATTACAACCTTAAAACTATATGGGCATTTTTATAATGAAGCAGTTAATATATTGAATATTTTAATATTTAATTCAGTAAATCATGAACAACTGGAAAGTCATGTAAATCAGTTTTATTTTCAGTATTATTTTTTATTAATTTTTAAATATTCTTTATATGTCTATATAGTTTGTATTAATTTTATTTCAGCTTTAGTTAGTTTTAGTACATCAAGTTAAACTAAATGAAAATGAGAAATGTTTCCTTGACAACTAGCTGAAAGAAAATAAGGTTTTAAATTGTATTTTAAATAATGAAAATGTTTTATGTAAGTCATGGTTATAAATATTAATAATAGCCCAGAAGAACATTTTTGGAATCCTCAAATGGAATTATTTTAATTATATTTTTTGAAATGATTTTTTTTTTTTTTAATTTGCAGAAACTATTGTAGGACTGCCCATACATTAAAATAAGTTTCAGGACTTTGAATATTGTTGTGCACAGTGAAATCCACTGCCTTAGAAACTATATTAGTGAGCGTATCTCATAGGCTTTAATTGTTTTTCTATCAGATTAGTGATCTTTTCTATCTCCTGACCGTGCACATAGTTAGATTTACATTAAAGGCATCAAATGGACCATTCATGAGTCTTTTCAATTAGTGACGACACATCGAATGTCTTCACGACGAGTCACTTGTCATGATATTTCTCTGTATTAGTGAGGATATTTGACCTTCACAAGTTTACAGTGTACAAAACTTTACAAACACGCTACCCAAAATCTCCCAAATGCAAGAAACGGATTCTCCTATAACACTTTCCCTGCTCTCCTCAAACATACTCCACAATGTGTGTGTGTGTGTTTGTGTGTTTGTGTGTGTGTGCGCGCGTTTTTGTGACAAATGAGGACATAAATTTGTATAATGACAAAGGTATGACAGGTATTACAAGGAGAAGGTGACTTTTCAGGACATTACCCCATGTCCCCACTTTTCAAAACGCTTATAAATCACACAGAATGGAGTGTATTGAAAATCTGAAATAGCAGAAAGTCTCCTGTGAGGGGTAGGTTTAGGGGTAGGGTTGGTGTAGGGCAATAGAATATACGGTCTGTACAGTATAAAAACCATTACGCCTATGGGATGTCCCCACTTTTCACAAAAACAAACCTGTGTGTGGGGGGGTGTG